CCCTTTTTATTTAAATTTTAGTTTCATTTGTACTCATTTTGTTATGCGTTTTTTGTCATTTTTATTAATTTTTTTTTGGGGGGGGGTGTTAAAGAATACCTTTTTTTCAGCTTTAGTTTTTATTTATTTCTAGTTATTACTTTTAGTGCTTCAACTTACACTTATTTCAGTTAATTGTCAAGGCAAGATTTATCTTTTTCGTTCAGTTTAAAGTTTTTCATCTAATATTTGTAGCTAATTTTATTTCAGCTTTATTTCCATTTAGAAAAATGCTTTTAATAGTTTTAGTTAATGATAAACCGGAATATGTAATACTCATAATGCTCATAATAAATGACAACGCAGCATAAGGTGAATTCAAATAAAATAAAAAAGTCTCAGTAATCAAATATATGTGACAATAGAGTGGTGGAACTATGACGTCACTTTGTAGCAAAACCCCGGAAGCGAGTTAGCGTTTTAGCACTTCCGGCTCCATGTCCCAGACTCAGTGGGTTTTCTGAATGGGAGTTTGGTTAAATCCCTAAAACAAGGTCCATGGTTCACACAGGCTCAAGATACTTTCACGTTTTATTCTACGACATAAAACACACCAGTTACTTTGCCCTGAAATGCAACACGTGTTCGGATGGAAGATGCTGGTTCTATCGCTCAGCTACTGATGCAGAGACTCGTATTACCATGATTCCATGTAAACACCACATTTAATGGCTTAGTGGCGGTGAAAGCGAAACTTTAATGATGCATAGTGCCTAAAGCCACATCACATGAAGCTGTTACGGAGCATATAGACATATAGGCTTTTCTAGAAGCAAGGATAAAATAACATTGTGTGTAACTAACCCACCCTAACAAAGCTGAAATGTGGTACTTTATTCACTAAAATAAGTTTAATCTTACCATATCCAAAAACTGGCTCACTCTGCTGTTATTTAATAGATTAAATGCACTGGAATTTTATTGAATAGTTCGTGGAGACAATTTTTTAATTAAAATATTAATTTTAAGTTTTAATGCACCTTATTTCAAAATGTAAAATGTCCTTTAGTTATGATTATTTCATTTACTCACTATACTATTTATTACTATTGTCTCATTTCAGTTTTAGTTTGGCTCTAGTTTTGTATTTATTCCAGTTTATATGAAACGATTCATGTAGAGTTGATTCTATGGTTGAACACAGAGCTTATTTTTTGCGATCATCCAAAAGCCTATGGAGAAATCCTGCACACAGTTCTCCACTCTATTAAGCTCCGCTGGGTCAGGTAATACACACACGCATTCTGATTATTTGCGGGTGGGTCGCAGGTGGATAAGATAAATCATGAATGATGCAAATATTAACTATTTTCTCAAATATGAACGTGTTTTAAATAGGCTACGGAAATAGAATAAACTATAAGTTAACATTATTTAGTCCAGAGCAGTGAGGGATTTACTCTGTCTGTTGTTGTTTGATTAATATTAATGACAGACGGCACAGCTTTACTAGGCTGCTTTATTAGCTTTAAAGAGCCTGTCTATGAAAATTATAGAGCCACAGATCACATTTCTTTTTAGTTTTCTACATAAGGAGTTGGAAGTTAGACTGTACTCCGTGTAACTGATCTTTGCAAATATTGAAACCAAGATAAGTTACTTCCTCTCTAATTACAATAGCTTCAAATTGGGTAAAAGGAATACCATTATCTTTAAGCGGAAAAAGGGTAAATTTTTAATGTTTACAAATAAACCGGACACTTCAGCAAATATAAGACGCACAGCACAGAGCACTGGGCTTGCCGTCATGTGACCGGTTTCTCTCAAGCTCTACAGTAAGTGTGGTTCTTCATCACGTGCGTGTGATATACAGTACATCAGCGCGATGACTGTTCATGACCAGACCTGCTTTATTGACTAGACGCTTTTAAAACATGTTGGATGTCGGTCAAAAGTATAATCAGGATTTTTTAAAGTGGTGGAACTATGACGTCACTTTGTAGCAAAACCCCGGAAGCGAGTTAGCGTTTTAGCACTTCCGGCTCCATGTCCCAGACTCAGTGGGTTTTCTGAATGGGAGTTTGGTTAAATCCCTAAAACAAGGTCCATGGTTCACACAGGCTCAAGATACTTTCACGTTTTATTCTACGACATAAAACACACCAGTTACTTTGCCCTGAAATGCAACACGTGTTCGGATGGAAGATGCTGGTTCTATCGCTCAGCTACTGATGCAGAGACTCGTATTACCATGATTCCATGTAAACACCACATTTAATGGCTTAGTGGCGGTGAAAGCGAAACTTTAATGATGCATAGTGCCTAAAGCCACATCACATGAAGCTGTTACGGAGCATATAGACATATAGGCTTTTCTAGAAGCAAGGATAAAATAACATTGTGTGTAACTAACCCACCCTAACAAAGCTGAAATGTGGTACTTTATTCACTAAAATAAGTTTAATCTTACCATATCCAAAAACTGGCTCACTCTGCTGTTATTTAATAGATTAAATGCACTGGAATTTTATTGAATAGTTCGTGGAGACAATTTTTTAATTAAAATATTAATTTTAAGTTTTAATGCACCTTATTTCAAAATGTAAAATGTCCTTTAGTTATGATTATTTCATTTACTCACTACACTATTTATTACTATTGTCTCATTTCAGTTTTAGTTTGGCTCTAGTTTTGTATTTATTCCAGTTTATATGAAACGATTCATGTAGAGTTGATTCTATGGTTGAACACAGAGCTTATTTTTTGCGATCATCCAAAAGCCTATGGAGAAATCCTGCACACAGTTCTCCACTCTATTAAGCTCCGCTGGGTCAGGTAATACACACACGCATTCTGATTATTTGCGGGTGGGTCGCAGGTGGATAAGATAAATCATGAATGATGCAAATATTAACTATTTTCTCAAATATGAACGTGTTTTAAATAGGCTACGGAAATAGAATAAACTATAAGTTAACATTATTTAGTCCAGAGCAGTGAGGGATTTACTCTGTCTGTTGTTGTTTGATTAATATTAATGACAGACGGCACAGCTTTACTAGGCTGCTTTATTAGCTTTAAAGAGCCTGTCTATGAAAATTATAGAGCCACAGATCACATTTCTTTTTAGTTTTCTACATAAGGAGTTGGAAGTTAGACTGTACTCCGTGTAACTGATCTTTGCTAATATTGAAACCAAGATAAGTTACTTCCTCTCTAATTACAATAGCTTCAAATTGGGTAAAAGGAATACCATTATCTTTAAGCGGAAAAAGGGTAAATTTTTAATGTTTACAAATAAACCTGACACTTCAGCAAATATAAGACGCACAGCACAGAGCACTGGGCTTGCCGTCATGTGACCGGTTTCTCTCAAGCTCTACAGTAAGTGTGGTTCTCCATCACGTGCGTGTGATATACAGTACATCAGCGCGATGACTGTTCATGACCAGACCTGCTTTATTGACTAGACGCTTTTAAAACATGTTGGATGTCGGTCAAAAGTATAATCAGGATTTTTTAATGTTTCTAAAAGAAGTCTCTTCTGCTCAACAAGGCTGCATTTATTCGGTTTAGTAAAAACAGTGGAATATTATTGTAATGTAAAGCAGCTGTGTTCTCTGTGAATATCTGTTAAACTGTAATGTATTTCTGTGATGTGCAGCTGTATCTTCAGCATCATTCCTCCAGTCTTCAGTGTCACATGATCCTGTAGTGTTACATGCGTAAGAAACATTTATCAATAAAAATCAAAATACTTTCTAGTTAATACTTACTGTGTTCAACATTGATAATAATCAGAAATGTTTCTCGAGCAGCAGATCAGCATATTATACTGATTTCTGAAGATCATGTGACGCTGAAGACTGGAGGAATGATGCTGAAAATCATTACGTCCATATCAAACATATTTAGGATATTTAAGCCTTCTTATAATTTGATCTGTTAAGGCTCTGTATTGTGTCAATCACTACAGAAATAAACGTCTCACTCTTCAGAACTGAAGATCTGGTTTGCAGTCGTTCATCACGTCAGGAGAGCTGTTACAGGCCTGCCAGCACACGAGTGATACCGTGGTAAAATCACTGTAAATAACCATCTGGAGTAGGTCACGGCTCTCCAAAAACTGCAGAAACACCAATATGATAAAACACACCAAACTTTAATAAATGCATTTCAGTGTTCTTACCCCAAATTAACTATTCACAACAAATAAACTCACCTGTGTTACTTTAGACTGTTTACAGATCGTCCAATCAGAACGAGCGGCTGATCATATCATCACAAACACAACAGACTGAACTGAGAATGGTTTATTGAATATTATTTAATATGTTCCACATTCAGATGATTCTTAGAGATATTTGTGTGCTGGAGCCACACACTCACACATCATACACACACACACAGACAGTCACACACTCACACACACATACCATGCAGTCACACACACACACTCACACACACACACACATCATCATGCAGTCACACACACACACACACACACACACACACAGACTCTCACTCACACACACAGACTCTCACTCACACACACAGACTCTCACTCACACACACACACAGACTCACACACACACACAGACTCACACACACACACAGACTCTCACACACACACAGACTCTCACACACACACAGACTCTCACACACACACAGACTCTCACACACACACAGACTCTCACACACACACAGACTCTCACACACACACAGACTCTCACACACACACAGACTCTCACACACACACAGACTCACACACACACACATTGATTCTGTGATCCGGTTGGGCTCGTGGTTCAGCCGTCGTACCAGTCCAGAAACAGCAGTGAGAACGAACACATGACCAGGAAGAACAGAATCCAAACGCGGAACCCAGCGTTATTCTTGATAGCCTGACACACACACACACACACACACACACACCTATGTGACTTATGAAGGAAAACTTACTCCAAGTGAAACACTGGAAGCACATTCAAGTTAAAAATGGTGAATTCATGCCACTCTTACATTAAAAATAATGTGATGTGTTTATTGGTTTTCTTACCTCTCTAATATCTTCATTTCCTTCTTTCACATTTTCTGTGGCACCAACAACTAGCTGATGAATGCTGTCGATCTCAGTCTCCTGTAACACACCCACACACACATCAGTACACACACACACACACACACACACACACATCAGTACACACACATATATATA